TACCGCAGCAAGGCCCCGTTTATTTTTCAGGGTGGGGTATATATAGGCTAAAACCGAAACCAAAAGTACAAACAGGGTGTAGCAGACTGGAAAGGTCACAAGGTAAAGTACAAACAGGATGTAGCAGACTGGAAAGGTCACAAGGTTCTACAAGTATTATGGGCTACATTTGCTAGGCAACAGGTCAGACCACCAGTTGAACCAGCCCGTTGTCATGGGCTACAGCACATCCGTTCCGGCGGGGTGACTCAAAGTTCAACCATGGCTAGGCCTATGTCAAGGCTTACCATGATGGCTCACCATAATTCCCCCATCTCTCTTTGATAGCATGAAGAGTGCTAGCAACTCATCATGCATCAGCCAAGGAGCCTCTGTCTTAGGCAGCAGAAGTCTTCCATCTCCTTACCCGTCATCAGTCGCAGGGCTTATGTCCCAATACGACCTGTCTTAGGTTGGTAGACAGAAGCTTCTGTCCTTACCCGTCACTGAGTATCCCAAGGCGGGGGATCTAAGCACGCCGAGCCTGAGCCAAGTAAATGGCTACGCGTGTTGTACCATCATCCAAAGAAGCCTGTACAGCCATAGCTAAACGCTCATATTTAAACTGGGAACGCTTCCAGCATCAATATGAGCAGTAACCCAAAATACACAACCCAATCATAACAGCAATAACAATAAGCCATATAACAATCCAAGAAGGTGAAAACATCTTTTTCAAATTTTCCCAAACTTCTGTAGCAAAATCTAAATTAAGCCGGATAGAATTGGCATGAACACCAGACAAGATCTCAATGTCCAATGACAACTGATTAGTTGCATTTAGAAATGTTCGATTCCAAGACCCTCGCAACAATGACGAAAGTCTTCGGACTTCCTCAGCATGGTTTTTGACAGGAAAGGGAGTAAGGCAGAGCTGTTGAAATCTGGGATCACAGTCCAATCGAGTATGCAACCACAATCCTTCAACTTCTTCATTTAATAAGTCCATTTGTTGCTCAATTATAGCCAAACCAGTTCCAATGTGAGGGTTGATGTGCTGTTGGGTTCGTAAAGCCATGGTTGTAGTGTTTTGAAGATCATTGATGGTGGCTGCGTTCTGTAAAGTTCCTGTCAACGCCACTGCGAAGGTGATGGCAGACACCAAGGCTATGATGCCAGCAATGATGCCCGCCACCACGGCACTTGCCACTCTTTTCCTGCGAGAAGGGGAAGAAATCTGTGCCCAAACAACAGTGGAGAAGTGATTAGAAGTGTTCAAAGGAATCCACACCTGAACGGGAATTCGTAAGACGGCCATAGATGTCAAGTTATCCTTAGCAGGAAACCAACACTGGCCAAGAAAACAGTATTCTTGAGAACAATTGGGTAACTGGGAGTTATTAATCCATAACAACAATACGAAAGGTGATCTAACACATATTCCAGAAGCTGAAAAGACAACAGATTTCAGATATTCGGGGACACTGGGGCTAAATTTTACAGGACAATTATCGTCACTGGACCCAGATCCTTTCGAGCCGGAAAGATTAATAGAATACCTGGTAGAACAATTATACCAGGTCATATTGGAAGGAGAGAGAAAATAAAAAGGTCTAAATGAGGTACAAGCATATGGGCCACAAAGGTGGCTCATACCAAAAACATTTTCACCCTTCTGTGGCTCGGGAAAGCCGTAAATTCCAAAATTCTTTGTGAAATTGTAGGAATAAGCAAATCAAGGATAACATTGTTCCCATGGCAAGATTGTGTTTTGGCCTCGGTTCTCATAACTACATTCCACTCCCAAAGGACGGAACCTGGGTATGGCAGGGGGTGAAAATTACCGTCGAACGTCGCATTAAAGCGAGGACCAGAAATATTCCAAGTTGTCTGATACCAGTTAAATCGCAACTGATTAGGGTTTTTGGCAAAAAGATGAGAAAAATGAGAACGAGAGCGAACCGAATGATTCTCTGTCAAAGGTAGACAGGTGGTGTTGCTCACATCATTACTAAAGGTAAAGCAAATGGTATCTAAAGGAAGATCAAAAGAAGCATTAATGGAAGCAGGAACTTCATAATGTTGCCAGGGAAGACCTAGGCTATTATTGGTAGTGAAAAACTGTGGAAACAGAGGAGCTTCCTGGCTCACTCCCTGTGGTTGAGGAAAAATGGGAACAGAAGCCCAAAAAACTTCTCCCATGATTGGAACTATTAGAAGGCAACCTAAAAGCACAAACGTCTTCATTTCCATTGACTATGATAACCTTCTTAATAAAAATAGTCCTACAAAGCTAAAATGAACTATCAAAGAAGTACCCACTAACAATGACTTTTTACTGTCTGGTTAAGTTTCCCTAAAACTCAAAAGAAACAAGCAACTCCTAATCACCACAATCAGTGTGACGGATGTCAGTCAAAAAGTGACGTCCATCAGCGATGGCTCACTAAATCAGGTCTCTGTACTCTCCGAGGAAGGGCACTGGCGAATTAGTCGTTCCGGGATCCACCGAGGCCCCTCGTCATCCTGTGGGAAGATACAAGCAGACCCTTGTCCCCAGTGAAGTACAGGGTCTGGTCCTTTCCATTGTCCAGTAAGGACATCTTTCCATCTTACCATCGCTTTTCCAGTGGCATGAGATGCCCAGTGTTTTGAGGCCCGTGTGACACCTTCTTCATTTATGGAAAGAAAATTTATTACAAATAGAGCATGGTTAAGTTTGTGAATAAGAGAATAAGTGCTGGAGAGCGGATTCCCACCTAGTTTTTCTATTGCAACTTTCAGAGTATGATGAGCTCTTTCAATAATGGCTTGACCTTGCGGGTTATGAGGAATACCAGTAGAATGGGAAATATGCAGGGATTGAAAAAACCTTTTTAGGGAAATGCTAATATAGGCTGGACCATTATCTGTTTTTATAGCTTGTGGTTTCCCCATATAAGCAAATGCATGTAACAAATGAGCAGTGACATCTTTTACTGCCTCTCCTGCGCGGGGTGTAGCACACATCATTCCTGAAAAGGTATCAATGGAGACGTGGACATACCGTTGCCTACCAAAGGAAGGAATATGGGTGACATCCATCTGCCATAGCTCATTACTTTTCAGGCCTCGTGGGTTGACGCCCAGAGCTTGAACTGGCAAATGGACCACACATTGTGGGCAATTCTTTACAATCTGTCTGGCTTGTTCCCTAGAAAGATGAAAAGTCAAGCGAAGGGTATGGGCATTAACATGATGTAGTCTATGAAATTCTTTTGCTTCCCTAATTTGTTGATCATTAGCCTGAATATGCATAACCTGCGGAAACTCATGAGAGGTCATAAGGATCCGCCTGTATGTTGCCTTGGGTTAAAGGTCCTGGGAGCCCGGAGTGGGCTCGGATATGATTGATGCTAAATGGGTGTGTGCGCTGCCTTATGCAGTTTTGGATTCCCAAGAAAAGAGAGTGTAATTCCCCGGTAGCAAAGATTTTTCCTGACGTCTCTAGATTTCTGACTGACTGATAGGTATACATACTATCAGTGTAAATATTTATAGGTTCAGAAAACTTTGTTAAGGTCAACAACACAGCACACAGCTCCACAAGCTGAGCAGACGAGAATGGTACTTTAAATGCCATTGTTTGTTCTCTCGAGACAATGGCTGCAGTTCCTTTTCTGGAACCGTCTGTAAAAATAGTTTGAGCTCCTTTTGTAGGATAATTCTTTGTTTTAGTGGGAAACATAAAGGTGTGTCTACAGGCGAATTGCAGCAATTTGTTGCCTGGAGGGTGATTATCAATAGTTCCTGAATAATCAAGGAAGCTTAAAAGCCAAACAGTATTTTGCTGCTGTAAAAGCTGTCTTTGACCTCTATCATAAGGGACTATTATTTTATCTGGTTCTTTCCCAAAGATGGTCTTGGAGGCCTTCCTCCCAAGTTGGCATACTTGAGCTACCATCTCATAATAAGGATTAGTCACCTTCCGTAGATGATGTGGTAAATGTATCCAATAAAGGGGCTGTTGCTGCATGAGTACCCCCGTAGGCCAATTCTGAGAAACACACACTATCAGCAGTAAGGGTTTCTTTGGGGAAAAATAACTAATACATTGATCGGCAGTAGCTTTTTCAACCAGGGCTAAAGCCCCTCTGGCTGCATCATTGAGCTTCCTTTCTGACAATGGATCAGGATCTCCTTCTAATAACTGGAATAATGGGGACAATTGACCAGTAGTCAATTTTAAATAAGGCCGAATCAAATTTATATCTCCAAGACGACTCTGAAAGTCATGAAGGGTGACAAGGGAAGGTCTTATCTTTATTTGTTCTGTGCATATGTTATCCATGTTCAATTGAAATCCTAGATAGGTTATTGGCCGAATCGACTGAACTTTCTCGGGCGCAATATAAAGTCCCCATCCTCCTAATGTCTCCTTCAAATTCATAAAGACCTGTCCTAGCATTTGTCAGAATGTGCTAGCAAGATATCATCCATATAATGATAGCAAAGGACACTAGAGGGCAATGAGGAAGCTTTTATAGCCTGTTGTACATAATATTGACACAAGGTGGGGCTATTGGCCATACCCTGTGGCAATACTTTCCATTGATATCGTTCATAGGGGGAAGCATGATTTATAGAGGGGACGCTGAAAGCAAAATATTTCCTATCCTCGGGATGTAAAGGTATGGAAAAGAAACAATCTTTAAGATCTATTACCAAAAGGTCATAATTAGAGGGGATTGCCACAGGCGAAGGTAGGCCTGGCTGAAGGGCTCCCATCAATACCATTCTTTTATTTACTTCCCTTAGATCCTGTAAGAGTCTCCATTTTCCTGACTTCTTTTTTATAATGAAAATGGGGGTATTCCAATCCAAGAAGGAGGTCTCAATATGTCCTGCCTCTAGTTGTTCCTGTACTAAACTTCTAGCGGCCGTGAGTTTTTCCTGAGTTAAGGGCCATTGATCCACCCATACGGAGGGGCCCTCAATCCATTGAAGTTTCTCCACATGGCGTACAGTAGAATCAGTGGCCCCTAAAAAGAATGACCCAATCCCAAACGAGGTGGCCGAAGTTTGCCCTCTAAAGGCTGTTGAACTCTTCCTCCTTTTCCCAAACCCTGTTGCTCCCTGTATCCTTGAAGGAGCATCTGTGTAGTGACTGCTTCATTTGGGCTGCATATTAACGCTCCCAGGGCAGCGAGGATATCTCGACCCCACAAATTTAAAGGTACATTGGAAATTACAAAAGGTTGAATGTATCCTGAATGGCCATCATTATCTTCCCATTTTATAGGCACTGAACTCTGCAGCGGAGCATTTTGTGTGCCTAGGCCCTGTAACTGAATATTAGTGGGTTTTGTGGGCCAGCTCGAAGGCCAATGCCTTGCAGCAATAACAGAGACATCAGCACCCGTATCTAAAAGACCTTGAAAAGTTTTTCCATTAAGCTTTAACTGCAATTCAGGTCTAGTTTGTCTTATTTCTTGTATCCAATATGCATCAGAAGACCCAAAACCCTTATCTCCTCGTTCTCCTTTCATAGGGGGTGCATCAGAGTGGAAAGGCAAAAGTAACAATTGGGCTATACGTTCCCCTGGGGAGATAGCAAGGACTCCTTGTGGGGATGATGCCATAATTTGAATTTCCCCAGTATAGTCAGTATCAATAAGGCTGGGATGGACTTGTAACCCCTTCAATGTCCATCTACTCCTACCTAGCAATAACCCAATTGTTCCTCCTGGCAGGGGGCCAAAGATTCCGATAGGCAATCCTCTGTGGTCCCATCTGAGAGGTAAGTATTGTATAGGAAGTGGAGCTTAAATCTAACCCTCCGCTTCCGGGGGTCCCTTGGCATAAATCGGTGACCTGTCTCCTATTGTTTCTGGGACAAACTGTTGGAGGGGATATATGTTCCTCCCCGGAGGAGGGAGAGTTGCCCTCGCATTTGTTACGGGGCCCCGAGGATGCCGCGGGCCTGTCCTCCAGTTTTTTTGTTCCATATTATACCCAAGATAGGTGCCATCCCTTGCCACCACAGAACGACACTCACGCGCATCATGGGGTCCCTTTTGACAGTGTGAGCAAAGTGTAAAGGAAGGCACCCGACTAGGGCAGTCCTTTTGTAATTGCTCTATCTTTTTGCATGCATAGCAAACAGGTGTTCTGGAATTTGTCCTGTTATTATTATTCGTGGCCTGTCGTGAATTGGCTCCCTTTTGATCGTGTATAGATTGGAAAAAGGCATGAAAAGTTCCCCCTTCCTGTGCAGTTCGATTGGCTGCTGCTTGCACCCAAGCAACACTCAATTGATTACTCACATCTGCACAAAGGCGAATGTAGCCTGTAAGATCGGTCTTTGTTCTCCAAGGTCTCAACACAGGTTTGCACCATTTATTGGCATTTTCATAAGCAAGCTGGAGAACAAAAGGCATCCCCGGTTTCAGCATCAGGGAATATCTTTCCTGCTCCATCTAAGAGTCTGTGGACAAACTCAGCATAAGGCTCATCTGGTCCCTGTCTGATGTTTCCCAGGCTAAAACTAAGATTGCCAGCATTAGGCAATTGTTTCCAGGCCCTAACGAAACACCATCCAATCTGGTCAAACACGGGGCCTCCCATAGCTATCTGAGCTTGGGTTGAGGCATATTGGCCCTCCCCCATCAGCATGTCCAGCTAGCAATAGCTACACCCGCATTTGCATTTCTGCGAGCAGTCTCACGACATTGTTCTGCAAAGGAAGACTTCCATAAGAGGAAGTCACCGCCTGACAAAACAGCACAAGCTACTGCCTTCCAGTCATTAGGAATCAACTATGAAATAGCCAGTGACTCTAAGATAGCAGTTGTAAAAGGAGCATTTGTACCATACTGATTAACAGCCAATTTCAATTCCTTTACCAACTTAAATTCTATTGGGCGGTGTTCATATCCACCGTGTTGAGTCTGAATAACCGGAAACCCAAAAATTTCTTCTCCTCTATTTTTTGCCTCAGTTACTGCCATCTCCAATGGCGTGGGGACATAAGGTTCACGCTCAGCAAGGGTGGGCTGACTTATGGGGGATACCCCGGCAATTGCCTTTCCTGAGATAGCAGCTACAGGGTCAGCCTGAGGGAGAGGAGTCTCCTCAGACCTTTGTGGTCCCTTTAACATTCTCATTTGTTGAGCTATTTGAGCTAGCTTCTGTTCGAGTAGGAGTTCTTCCTCCCGTCTCTGACACGTCAGTTGTAACTGAGCGAGGTGTGTATCTACCTCGTCATTCAATGGCGGGGTGCTAGGTGGCAGGCGCTCCTCGCAAACAGGAAGACAGGGGTAGATAGACGCAGGTGGCTCCCCGCGCCGCGACGGCGCTGGTGGGAGGTCAGCAGGCAGGGGAGGAGGACTATCTGGAGGCTCTGGAGGAGGCTCCGAGGCCTGGGATTTCTCCTCTCGAATTTGTTCCAATTCCTCATGAACCTTTTCGAGAGCCTCAGATATTTCCCTTTGAGACAGAGTTCTCAAAGCTGTATTTAAGAGCGCCCAATAGGAGAATAAGCTCTCCGGAAACCTATCAGGATCAGAGGTCAAGGCCTTCTGCAGCTGTTTACCTACTCTTCCCCAGACTTCTAGATTTATCTCAGCCTCGTCACACAACCATGGACAAACCTCATCCAATATTTTCACAAATGCCTCCAATTGAGCCTTCTTAACTTTAACCCCTTGTACCTTTAGCAACTTTTGTATAGAGTTCCCTACATAACCTCTGGATTCCATTTGACCCATACTTTAAGAATTTGAGGGCTTACACCCCTTGTTACTACTGCCATGATCAGGACTACCGTCCCCTGTCTCTCACCAGCAGCCCATTCCTTTTTTATTGCCGTGATCAGGACTACCGTCCCCTGTCTCTCATCGGCACACACTTACTTACAGCCATCATCAGGACTACCATCCCCTGTCTCTCAACGGCGGCACCCTCCTCTACAACATTTCACTCCACTGCCGTGATCAGGACTATCGCCCCCTGTCTCTCACCAGCAGGAGCCGTGGGGATCAGTCGTGGTTCTTGTTGTAGTGCCCTGGATCGCAGGGCGCTCTCCTTGATGTCCTTCTTACTCGAGTCCCTGTTCGGGCGCCACTTGTCGCGAGCCGCAACGTCAGAATCCTGCCAGCAGGTCCGAAACCCGAGGGAAGAACAACGGGAGAGCCGTTTCACGAACTTAGTTCCAGGCTCATGCTCTACCGCAGCAAGGCCCCGTTTATTTTTCAGGGTAGGGTATATATAGGCTAAAACCGAAACCAAAAGTACAAACAGGGTGTAGCAGACTGGAAAGGTCACAAGGTAAAGTACAAACAGGATGTAGCAGACTGGAAAGGTCACAAGGTTCTACAAGTATTATGGGCTACATTTGCTAGGCAACAGGTCAGACCACCAGTTGAACCAGCCCGTTGTCATGGGCTACAGCACATCCGTTCCGGCGGGGTGACTCAAAGTTCAACCATGGCTAGGCCTATGTCAAGGCTTACCATGATGGCTCACCATATCTGACTGATATGCAGTAATGTCATTTAATATGATCAATAAATTAATAAACAAGTACAACTATTTAAATGTGGTATTTCTTATAAGTTGGTATGGCTGGTGTGTAGTTCATATGACAGAGGTATTCATTTTTCTAAGGGGATAAAATGGTTTCAGAAGCTGGATGTGGTGGCACATGCCTATAATCCTAGCACTCCAGACTGAGGCAGGAGCGTTATTTGTGAGTTTGAGGTCAGGCTGGGCTACACAGTGAGCTCAAGGACAACCTAAATTGCATAGTGAGACCGGGTCTCAAAAACAAAACAAAATCAAACAAGAATGGTTTCAGAGAAAATTTCTAGAAGATACATGATATTGCTTACTAGAAATATTTACCTAGAGATACAAATAAATTATTCTTACCTATTAAAATGTTTACAGTATTTTCATTTAGTTTTTCCTATTCCTTCATATATGAAGGAGAAGAATCAGACATTAAAGAAATTTTGTCAAGATTAATCTTGGCAAGCTTGGTTTTTGTTATTATTTTCACTTGAAATTGTTATCTTTGTATTTTGGGGTTACTTTTAACAGTAATTCATCAAGGATTTTTAAGTTCCCATCTATTTTTTAAAAATTTTATTTTATTAGTACATGTTTGAAGTACATGCATTTTACAATTATTTGGAGTTAGTACATGTACATAAAACAGCTTGTTTCTTTTTTAATCCTCTTTCCTCTGCCGCTCTGCCTCCTCTCTAGTTCTCCTTTCCCCCCCTCTTCATTCTTACTAATATTGTTTATCTTAGTTCAGGTCTATAACCTGTAATGTCCACATTCATTGAGTTTATTAGGCCTTGTACCTGGCAAAGCTTCACTCTTTCCCCACCCTCACCCCTGACCTCTCATCCTTGGTCTTCTGGACCCCTTCTTATCTGCAAGAAATACATCCCCTTGTCTTGCTCTATCCTTCTTTTATTTTTTTCTTAGTTTAGATTTCTCCTTACTCAGATAAGAGAAACCATATCGTATTTAAGCATGTGTGTCTGATTTATTTCACTCAACATATTCTCTAGGTGCTTCCATTTTCCCACAGATGTCTCAAATCTGTCCTTCTTTGTCTCCAAATAGTATTCTCCTATCTATTTTTATGATTGCTTTTAGAGTATTTTAGGTTCAGGACTCAGAATCTTAGAGTCATCATGTTTTATTTTAATGTTTATATTTTATTTAGGTCTAGCACTCCTTGTGTCCTTGTGTCTTGTCTACCAAGCATAATAAGCTGTATATTAGAAATACATTAATGAAAACTTTATTATATCTGATGGTTTTACTTACAGAATGTTTCTGAATTGTGGAACCACTGACAGACATTAAGACTCGATAATTCAAATTGAGGAATGACTATCAAGAGATTATGTATAATTTGATAGTTTCTTGGTACTATCTAATAAATAGTACCTGCTTTTTACTCTACTTTGAGCCAGTTAGGAAGTAAAGAGTCACAGCAGTAGGTCAGAGTGCCAACTTTATTGCTGATAAAAATTTACTTAACATGGATAAGTGGGACCCATTCACTGAACCAGAAAACAAGACGGACTTGTCCACTCATTCATGGCATTTGCTAATCGAGGGAGATGTCTCAGTTAGTGCCTCCTTCCTCAGGGTTCCTGGCTATATTCCAGTTGGAAGAAGGAAGAAGTTGACACCAGTATAATACAGTTTATTATTTCCAGACAAGTCATTCCATAGTGGATATGTTAGTTATAACAAATTGATATAAACAGAGTGGCTTAAAACAAGGGAAATCGATTTTCTCACATTTTTATGGGCTTGATGTCTAAAATACAGGTGTCAGCACAGTTCTTTCTGGAGACCCTGAGAAGAATCTGCTCTGTGCTTCTCCCCTAGCTTTGGTTGCTATAGGGCACTTGGTGTTCTTTTTTTTTTTTTTTGTTACTGGGGTTTGAAATCGGAACTTTGTGCTTGCGAGGCAGGTGGTGGAACCACTGAGCTGGACTGGCCCTTGTCCATTTTTAGTTTGTAGGTAGGTAACTTCAGCATTTGTCTCCATTTCATGTGGTATTTCCCACTGTTTGTATTCCCTTTCTCTTCTAATTAAATTTAGGACCCA